GCCAAGGCAGGTGCGATGCGATTGGTCAGGGGGCCCTGCCATCGCTCCACGATCGCCCCACAGAGGGAGGCCCAGTCCACCTTCTGTGGTGGGACAATCGATGGAGGGGCTCCATGATCGATCGCCCCAAAGAGGGAGGCCCAGGCCACCCTCTGGACAGCGATGGATCACAGAGCCCTGGCCCGGTGGGCAGGGCCTCCCTCTGCTGGGCAATCAATTGGGGAGCCCCGCAAATGATTGGCCCACAGCGGGAGGCCCAGGCCACTGGCCAGTGACACTGTGACCGTATGCAGGCCGGCTAGCAATCACCCTGCAGAGGGAGGCCCAGGCCAGCCAAGCAATCACACCACACGCCTATCATCCGCAGAGGAAGCAACAGGTGGTGGGGGTGAGGGTGAGGGGTGGGAGAGGGGCAGCGCTGCATAGATGGCAGGCAGCGGCAGGGGCAGGGCCAGCTGCCGGCAGCTGGGGAAGAAAATCCCCAATAGGCCCTGATCACCAGCCAGGCCTAGGGACCCTACCCGAGGGGTACTGGATTGTGAGAGGGTGCAGGCAGGGCTGAGGGACACCCCCCTCCCTCCACCCCATGCATGAATTTCATGCACCGGACCTCTAGTCATTTTCATAACAGCTAATATTATTGAGTACTTCCTATGTACTTTTAATGCATTACCTAATTTAACCCTCATAATAGCCTTATGGGTTAAATACTTTATCCCCATTTTACGGATGAGAACACTAAGCACAGGTAGAAAGTAGCAGAGCTGGGATTTGAACTTGGGCAGTAATTTCTTTCTTTCTTCTTCTTTTTTTTTTTTGACATAAATGTTGTGGGAGTTTAAGATGTACAATGTATTGGCTTGATACATTTATATATTGTAATTGATTACCACTAAGATGTTAGCTAACACCTCTACCATGTCACATAATGATCATTTCTTTTTTGTGCCAAGAACGATTAAGATCTAGTCTCTTAGCAACTTCAAAGTTTTGTTGACTGTAATCACTATGGTGTGTGTTAGATCTCCAGGATTTATATATCTACTAACTGTAAGCCTCCACATAGTACATGCTGCCTCCTATCTTCCCAGGACTACTTGATATATTTAGAACACTGGGCTCCAAGGACATGACAATAGGGTGGTGAAGACCTGGGAGGTGGGGTAAGGGCTGGGAAGAGGGGGAAATGGGAGACATCTGTAAAACTATCAAGAATAATAATTAAAAAAAAGTACACTGGGCTCTTATGAATAACTCAGAGAACTTAAAAAAGTGGCCAGGTGATTCAGTTAACTCAGTTAGTTGGAGATTTGTCCCCTGCACCAAAAGGTTACGGATTGATTACAGGTCAGGGCACATACCCAGGTTGCAGGTTCAATACCTGGTCAGGGCATATAAAGGCATATCAATAAAGGCATAATCTCAGGTGAGGATTAAAAAAATTAAAAAATGAAGTGGGCCCTAGCTGGTTTGGCTCAGTAGAGAGAGCGTTGGCCTGCGAACTGAAGGGTCCTGAGTTCAATTCCGGTCAAGGGCACATGACTGGTTTGCAGGCTTGATCCCCAGTAGGGGGTGTGCAGGAGGCAGCCAATCAATGATTCTCTCTCATCATTGATGTTTCTCTCTCCCACTCCCTTTCTCTCTGAAACAAATGTATATATATTTATTTAAAATAAAACAGAGAGAAGTTTAATTCTATCAAGTTACCATAAGACACCTACATATACTTAAAACATTGTGGATGGATCACGAGAATTCTCGTGTTTTCTGTTCTAAGGCTTGTGGCCAATCATACTTTAAAAAATATTAGCTCATAAGAACATGTAATAAATAAATTCAAAATGCAATGGGTACTTAATTTTAAAGTGTGCCTTTAACATTTATCTAAAACATTTTGTACTCATTCAATAGAAACTTATCTGGACCTATCCGGTTTGGCTCAGTGGATAGAGCGTCGGCCTGCGAACTGAAAGGTCCCAGGTTCGATTCCGGTAAAGGGCATGTACCTGAGGTTGTGGGCACATCCCTGGTGGGGAGTGTGCAGGAGGCAGCTGATCGATGTTTCTCTCTCATTGATGTTCCTAACTCTCTATCCCTCTCCCTTCCTCTCTGTAAAAAATCAATAAAATATATTTTTTTTAAAAAGAAACTTCTCTGGCCACTGGGTAAAGCTCGCAATAAAACTACTGGTCCACAATGTGTTAAAAGAGAAACATACATCCACACAAAAACGTGCACATGAATTTCATAGCATTATTCATAATAGCCAAAAAGTGAAAACAACCCAAATGTCCATTAACTGATGAATGGGTAAACAAAATGAGATATATCCATACTATGGAATATTATTTAGCCATAAAAAGGATGAGCCTTGAAAACATGCTTAATAAACATGCTCTATAAATCAAGAAAGGTCTATTACATTATTCCATTTATATGAAATGTCCAGAATAGATAAACAGAAAGATTCATAGTTGCCAGGGGCAGGGGTTCAGGGGGTTGGGGTGTGGGAAGGGTATGAAAAGTGGGTTTCTTTTTGGGTGGCAAGAATGTTCTGAAATTAGTGATGATGGTTTTACAAAACCATCCATGAATTTTTATGGTATGTGAATTATATCTTAGCAAATCTGTTTTGAAAAAGGATGCTTAATTCATTGTGAACTTGGGCTATTTTACTAAATAAAATTCCTATTTGTTATCATTAAAGTTGCCAGATCTTAATCAATGAAACTGAAAGTAACCTGTCTTCACTGAATTTTTACCTTTCAATTTGCAAAGAGGAGTAAACTAGTTTCACTTCTAGGACGGACCTCGACCTATGTCATTTCACCACCGAGGAGAAAGTTTTTCTTCACACAGACCGAAAGAGTACAAATGCAAAAATTCTATTCTTGAGAAAATGCCCTCATATTTTCCTTAAATCAAAGCACTTACTATCTCAAAGTAGTTTTCTCCCACAACCAGGGGCTCATGGGATTTCCTTGCTAAAAGCACACAACTAAATAAAATTCCCCTTCAACAAGCAAGTACTAAAAACTACTATGAATTGTGGCAACATTTTAATGCCTTAAGATATACAATGAATATAACTACCTAGTACTGGGGTAAGGATCTGGGAAACATTCTTTTAAATGTTTACTTGCTCTGATAATAACAGTAATAGTAATAACTAGTATTTACTGAGCAACTCTAATGTGCTAAATAAACACTGTCCCTGCTCTTTACAAATAGGATGTTTAATTTAGTCCTCACAGTAACCCTGAGGAAAGTATTTTTATCCTCTTTTCATAGATAAGGAACTGAGGCCTAGAGAGATTGAGCAAATCATCTGTCCCTGACTGTACAGGTAAGAGAGTCCAAATAATACCCCAAGTCTTTCTGAACTCAAATGGTCTCCCCTCTCCCTCTATATTCCTCTTTAAAATGAAAAGGAAGCCAGAAACTTGTAGAAACTGAAGAGACACCCCCCTTCTAGCTTATAAAAGTAGTGCTTTGAAAAAGGTGACTCTTGGTATAGTCCAAAAGAGGAAATACAGAAAACAAAAGACTGTTAATAACAACTAGCAGTCAATAGGCACAAAATAGCATGCCATGTCCCACATCTCGTATACTACTTCCCGATTTAACAGTTTTCCCATTGATGCTGCTGATAGCCTTAGGATGTCACAATTTAATGATCTCACTATGGAAAACCCCAGAGAACAACAGTTAGTGAGGCTGGAGAGCTCACTAGATCAGGAAGGAAAAGGAATCAGTTGGCAGGAAGTGGTGTTTATCTAAAAACATAAAAGTCGCAGAAACCAGTTTGGCTCAGTGGATAGAGCCTCGGCCTGCGGATTGAAAGGTCCCAGGTTTGATTCCGGTCAAGGGCATGTACCTGGGTTGTGGGCACATCCCCAGTAGATGTGCAGGAGGCAGCTAATAGATGTTTCTCTCTCATCAATGTTTCTAACTCTCTATCTCTCTCCCTTCCTCTCTGTAAAAAAATCAATAAAATACATTAAAAAAAACACATAAAAGTCTTTAGCATTACTAGTAATATGAACACTGTAATTCCACAGCACTTTAATTTGAAGCTATCTCTGCATTCCTTTGTATTATTTTAATACTGTATTACTAAAAGCTGATTCCCACTCCATTCTCCATATGTCTAATAGGATCCTAAATAAAATAAGACTGCTATATAGCCACCACTGAGCTTCTTTACTCTTTTGCTATATTTTTTAAAAAAGGCCACATTTCAAAGGATTATCCCAGAATCAATTAGGGAAGGTGGCAGGTGGGGCACAACATGAATTTCATCACCAAGTAGACTGTAGCTGGTGGAAATCTTGCATTCACAATTGAAACATACACTTGTCCTTACACTTCTCAGGACTCTGCCCAAAGCAAACTGAAACTGTAAACCAACTGCAGATTGATGGATGTATAATTGCTAAGCATTTCAACACACACCAAAGGGGGGTGGGGGTGGGGGGGTGGGAGGAAGTAGCTAAACAACTGAAGAATGAAAAAACTCAGTGCATGAAAAAAATTTTGCACAAAAAGAACATCACAATATGCATGGGGGTAAGGAGTCACATGGGGTTGAACGAATCCTTAGAAAATGCCAAAGAAATAACCTCGATTCTTGGGTCACCCTGCAATAATTCCTAATGGGAAAGGGGGGGATGGCCCTCCGGACCCAGGACGGAAACTGACTACTCACCAACTCCACCGTCCTTCACGCCCAGATCAGCCACCTCTGGGCTGAGGGCAGCCCGTCCCGCGCCCTCCGCCCCCAGACCCGGTCTGCTCCCGCCCCCAGCCACCCCCAAAGTCCGCGGCCGGCTCCGGTGCCTGACAGCTGCCCTGCCACCACCAAGCAACTCCAGCTCCCCCCGCCCCGGTGGCCAAAACAGCCTCCCGGGGTCGGAGGCGCCCCAGGCCCGCGGGATTGAGGGCTTGGGATCTGGAAGGGTTTGTCCGACCTCCTCTTCCACTCAGCGTCCTGGGCTCACCTCCCCGGCAGCTTGGCGCTCCTCTTCCAAAACTGCTTGCTATTCTCGGCAGCCATTGCTCGGGCCCAGGGAAGGCCTTCTAGGCGGGCCAGGGGGTCCCCGGCGAGATGCCCCCAGGATCCCGCAATCGGAGGGCCAACCCAGGCCGCTTACCCGCCGCCGGTCAACGGCTCCCTGCTCCTGGGGGCGCCATCTTGGATGTGGGCACCCCCCGACCCAGCGCCGCTGCCATTGGTGGGCTGCCGGGCGGTGGTCGGACGAACCAATCAGGAGCCAGAATCCTGTAGGCCGGTGAAGCCGAGCGGTGACGTCAGGGGCTGGGCACACAGGTGGACGGGAAGGCGGTGCTTGGCCAGCAGGGAGGCGGGGCTGAAAGTTCTCACCCCTGGAGCCGGGAAGAAGCAGGTAAAGGACCCAGGGCAGGAGAATGGGGTGCTGCTTTTTTTTGAGGGGAATGAGGTCCTTGCATCTAGTATGTTTGGAAAGAGAGGGCACATGTATTATAGACATAAGCCTTGACCTAAAACCTAACGACACCTCTGGTTATTAGCCTCCTCTTTGCCTTTTCCTTTGTACCCGGGATTTTTTGTTTGTTTGGTTGGATGGGGTGTTTGTTTGTTTTTGTTTGTTTGCTTGTTTGTTTGAAATCTGTGACGGAAGACCCATAAGGATCGATAGCCCGAGGTTGGTAACGGTTCACGTGAGTGACGGTTGGACCGTGAGTGTCTCTGTTCGTTGAAAGCTCTTGAAGGCCTTGTGCCCTGAGTGGCATTCGAATGACCTACTGCCTGTTTCAACCAGTAACTGTTGCTTTCTGACTGTGAGAACCAGATGCCGACAATCAATACTCGGGAAATGCTCTTAGTTTATTCAGCCGGTTCAGGCCACCAAGTGACGTTTCTTGCGAGGACGCCGTATATCTGTCTCCATGTCATGCATCACAAAGATGAAGGCTGTGTTCCCCCAAACACACTTAATTCCTCTTATTAACCTGTTATAAATCTTCCACTCTTGCATTTCAGTTTTGTTTTGACTCAGAATGAGATTTAATATTAGCATTTTGGGTCCTTTGAATGCCGTGACTGTGTTTTTTGCTCTTTTCCCGTTTCTGTGGTTGTAGGCCAGGGATGAGGGGGAGCAGGGGAGAGTGGGGGGGGGGGGGAGGGGAAGGGGGGGGGGGGGGGGTCAGGAAGCACACGCCAGCCAGCGCAGTTTCTGTCCCAACGAAGGACTGCGGAGGGGCTTGTCCTCCAGCTGCTGACAGCTACCACGTGTCCGTCATATGTTGGAGGATCTTAAGGACCCCTGTCTAAAAAGGACCTTCTCTTATATGCCCTCCAGTAACCTCTTTCTACCCCCCTCTTCCAGCTTCTTTTGCCCCCTAATTTCACCATCATGGGATTGTATGAAAAGGGCTTTTTTTTTTTTTTTTTTACTTTTTCTGGACCTTAGATGTTTTTATAGACTTTCATCTCATCTCAGATAGTTACCTTTTATGGGCATTTAATCCTTTAAAACACACACACACACACACACACACACACACACACACACAAACTCATCCTTTTAATCTTACCGTTTCATCATTTTAGCTGTCTTTCTTGAGCTGTTCTTTTTCTTGCAATGCAGTACCAGCACTACACCCTGAACTCCAAGATGGGTTTTCTGAGGTTTTGTTGAAGCAGGGGTTTTGTCTTTATTCCTGGGCTTTACAAAAGCTGATGATGTCTTGAAGGAATAATCTATAGCGACTTCTAGATTCCTTTCCTCCGTTGCACCTGGCAGTTCAGAGTTCATTATCTCAAAGGTGTCGTCAGAACTATCTCCCACCACGTGAGCTATCCTACACTTGTCCATGTGGCAAGTCACCTGTCACTTCCTGCCTCCTCACACAGCTTTGCAAATGTTCCAGAAGAGCTCCCCGTTGGCTTGCTATTTCACATGTGGAAAGCAGAGTATAATTTGTGTACCAAAAGATGCCTTACAGTATTCCCTTTTCTTAATGTTTTATGAAATGTTAAATAACGCAGATTCTCTGGGGATACTGTTAACAGTGTTCAACCAAAGAAGCCCTATTATTCCTCTTCTTTGTTTTCGACATCTAAGCCAGTTTCCCATCCAAGAATTTAAAAAATCATTCCAGTCATCTAGCAGTAACTTAGTAAATAGACTTTATCAGGGAAGTTGAGATTGTTGTGACTTCTCTCACCATCACTATGACCACCCAAATCTAAACCAACCAACACCCTGACAGCAGCCTCCTATAGGCCTCCCTGCTTCCACTCCTGCCCACTTAGTCTATTCCCCACACAGCAGCCAGAGAGAGCCTTTTAAATTCTCAGATCACATCACTCCTCTAGGTGCAACACCTTGAAATGACATAAAATCACACATAGCATAAAATCCAAGCTCCTTAAAGACACTATGTGATTAGGTTCCACTCTCTTCCTTGTTTAATCTGTCTGCTCCAACCGCACTTATTGGTCTTTTTGCTGTTCCTTAAACACTCCAAGCATTTTCCTACCTCAAGACCTTTGCATTAGCCATGTCCTCCTCTGCTTGGAATTCGACCAGCGGGCGGGGCTGGCAGGCCAACCTCCTGCATAGGCCCTGATCTATCGGGGGCGGGATGGCTGGACCCCACCCATGCACGAATTCATGCACGAATTCATGCACCAGGCCTCTAGTGAATGCATAAATAAGTGGAACAACAAATCAGTTAATCTCTCTCTCCCTCCCCCGTCCTCTCTCTTTAAAATCAATAATTTTTTTAAAAAAATGTAAAAACCACTCATAGCTGATAGGCTATACAAAAACAGATTTGGCTCATAGGTAGCAGTTTGCCAACCCCTAAAGAATAAAGAATAAATAACATATAAAAACAAGGTTAAGAAACAAAAAAAATCTTATGGTACAATGAAAGTCCCTTTTTGCCTCTCCTTGATCCCCTTCCCCTCCTCTCTCTAGTGGAAACCACGATCCTGAGTTGTGTGCTTAACATTCTCATGCATGTTGTAGACTTTCACGACATATGTGCATATCCATAAACAACATGTTTTTCATGTTTTGAAACTTTAAAATAGCATCACACTGTACATATGCTTCAGCAACTGGCTTTCTTCACTCAGCATTCTGTTGATACATGAAGCTTTAGTTTACTCAACTTAAATGCAATATAGTTTTCCAGTATGTGAATATTCTTCAATTGTTGTGCCCAGTTATTTTTATTTCAAACAATGCTCAGTTAACATTCTTTTCCAATTACCATGCACAAAACCTTCTCTAATGCAGCCTTTTTCAAAATGCAAGTTGTCAATTATTGGAGAATTGTATGAAATTTAAAGGCTGGTACCTTCAATGAAATAGAATAGACAGGAATAGAAAAGATCAGAGTGTTGTTGCATGCATGTGGATAGGAATAGTTCTGTAAAATGTTTGTTTCAAATTTATATACACATACATTTGTATCTATGTGTTTCTGTGTGTACTTGGTTGTAATTAAAGCATATTTCTTAATAAGAGGTTTTGCTTTAAGGTGCCCTGGTTGGTTTGGTTCAGTGGATAGAGCATTAGCCTGCAGACTGAAGGACCCTGGGTTTGATTCTGGTCAAGGGCACATGCCTCAGTTGCAGGCTCAATCCCCCAAGTTTTAACCCTAATCAATCTGCTGGAGGCTTTGAACAAAATTTTGTGTGTTGGCTCTTTAGAAAGGTGCCTATTTCTCTAGCAAACCTCTGTCTCCCTGACAGATAGAATCCTTGCTGGTTTTCACAGCCAGATGTTAGGTGGGTGCTTCTTAACTCTGGTGCTCTGGGCTAAGGAGCCTATCTTGAGACTCCCATACTTCTCAGGGGGAACCCCCTGCAGCTTTTCAGGCTGTGCAGTCACTTTGGAACCTCAGCCACTGCCTGTGGGAGCAGGGCCAGCCCTTTTTGCCCTTCTTACCAGTCTCAATGTGGCTTCTTCTGTAAATCCTTGGTTATAAGACCTCTCTTCAGTTAATCTTCAGTTGGTTATTCAGAATGATTGTTCTATAATTTAGTTGTAATTTCAGATTTGTCCTGGGAGGAGGTGAGTGTATCTTCCACCTACTTTGCCAATATCTTGGATGTCCTCATCCTCTTGTTTTTCTTTATGCTTTTTCAGCTATGTTTATAACTGTAAATAATATATTGTTTATATTAATGATATCATATTGTATCTATTCTTCTGTTGCTTGTTTCTTTTAACCAACATTATGGTGTTGAGATTTATCCATGTCAATGAGTGTAGCTATAGTTCACTCATTTTCACTGCTGTATAATACTCCATTTTCTAAATAGCACAGTTTATCCATGTTATTATCGATTGGCATTTAGTTGTTTCACATTTCGTGCTACTGTGAACTCTGCTGCTATGAACATTTGTATCCATGTCTCTGGCTAAGTGGACAAGTAGAAAGGTTTCTCTAGGATATTGATGTGTTAGGAGTGGAATTGCTGGTCTGGAATGCATACATATATTAAACTTTGCAAAATAGAACCCACTTGTTTTTCAAAGTGGTTTTATTACTTCCTTCTTCCACCTGCTTGGGATGAGAGTTCCATTTTCATTTCGTAGAACGTGGTTTCAACAGTAAATAAAAATTGGGGCAAAAGGTGGGGAGTTGTTTCAAAGCCAGGTTGAACATGAGGCAGGAAAGTAGGAACTTCAGTACCTGTTCTGTCACATATAAGTCTTTCTTTTTTCCTTCCTACTGTCCTTCCTTTCTTTCATATCTTTGTACATGATACTAATTCAAAACATACAAATAAGTATATAGTAGGTTAAATGGTGATCACCCAAAATAAGATATGTCCACATCGAAATTCCTAAAACATGTGAATATTGCCTTATTTGGAGAAAGGGGTTTTGCGGATATACTGGTAGTTAAGAATTTTGATAAGAGATCATCCTGGTTTACTCAGTGGACCATAAATCCAATGATAAGTGTCCCTATAAGAGAGCAGACACAGACAGAAGAGGAGGAGGCAATGTGACCATGAGGACAGAGGGAGTGATGAAGCCACAAGCCAAGGAATGCCTGAAGCCACCAGGACCCATGATCCTGCCAACACTTTCATTTTGGTATTCCTACTTCCGGAACTGTGAGAGATCAAATTTCTGTTGTTTTATGCCACCAAATTTGTGGCAATTTGTTGTAGCCATTCTAGGAAACTAATCTACA